GGGAGCGTTTCACTGTGCACAACCCCACTGCGCGGGAGGAGAGGCGAAGCCTGCCCTTGGCACAAACCCTGCGCCCCAGCCCAGCGCCGCAGGGCAGGCTGAGGTGGCACCGAGCGGAGCACCCTCCGTTTTGTGCTCCACTCACAAGGGTGCATAGAAAAGCTTTGAAAACACAGCAGGCTGTAACTGAAACCCCCGTTAGATACTTGAGAAGTAGAAACTGATTTACCTGTAGAGGCAGCCTTGCTCTGAGCAGGCAGTTACACCAGAGACCTCAGAGGAGCTTTCCAACCCGAATTACTCCATCTTTGTCACTGCTGCGCCTCATAGAACTGCAAAGAGACACAAACACCAGCCAAACCCTCCCAGATGCGACCCCAGGATGTTCAGAGGTATCAGCTTCGGGCTGATACGCATTTTGTCGCTGCAGTTCAGCCACACATTGAGTCTTCTCTGGGTGTGGTGATGCTATCCAAACCTGGGACTCCGCCTTGATGTTCAGTGCCTGCTAATTAGGTGGGGTGTTTTCTTGGGGTGTTTTTTCCCATCTTGTTACTGACTAGTAAATGGCATGTTAGTGATCTGTGTCTCAATCGGGTTTTTCAGAGAAGATGCTCTCTAGGCAGCACTGCTGCTCTCACGGCTGGGTTGGAAGGCAACAGCTGTTTCACCGGCAGCACACCCCAAAGTCATCATCCAGCGCTCTTGCACTGCACCCGCCTTCCTCCCATCATTGTGAAGCCACCTCACAGCTCGCACCATCAGGAGCTGGCTCTGGAAGGCCGTCCGGGCAACGTCACTCGTTTGCTCTTCTGCATCAGGAGCGCTGGTGGGAGCAGCAGACTCCCCTTGGATGCGTTGCTGGAGGAGCACAGGGCACACAACGCCTCTCCAGAGAAGCCCCAACGCAGCCGGGCACGATCCGACAGCAGCAGCCTGCCCCAGCCTGCCCAACTCCCAGCACAGGGGACCAGCCTCTCCCTCGGTTCTTTCAGGCACCAGGATCATGGGAGAGGAGCGTGTGGGTCTGGGATCCTCGCCGGGGGTGTGCTCCAGGAGGGCCACGCACGCTGGGTGAAAAGCATGTGCTTCTGTGGGGTGGCTTGCTGCTGACCACTGCAGGCTACTCGGAAACAGCAGCCCAAAACATTTTGTAACCCTGCCTGCTGTTAGAGCAGTATGAACACGAGCCAAAGGGGCCAGTTCCCACACGCACCACTCCATCTTACAGCACGCTTCAGCAGCCTGCACCCACACAGAGCTCGGGCTGAGCTGTGCCAGGCTGGGTCTCCTTTGCTGCCAAATGTATCATGTTCAGGCTCACGCTAAGCTCCTCACAAAGCCATCACACAGCCAGTATTAGCATCATCGTAAAGCTATCCTTCCTAATAGCTCAATATATGGGAAATTCACTTTACCACACATAATTAGACCTCTCTCTGGTTAAAACTTAATTGAGGCTTAAAATTCAGCAAGCAGAATTAAGATCTTTTCCCTAAACAGAATCTGGATCCAATCTAAGGACTCCCTAATGGGTAGAGAATTTTTCAAGTTAGAATTAGCTACACTAACACAAACCATGAGTGCTGCATCACTAATGCTCAAGCAGCACTGCATAACTCTTCCCTACATCAGAACCATAAAAGGCCTTTGGAATTGCAACTCCATCTTGGAGTTCCAAAGAACTCCATGGGGGACAGAAAGTCAAACCATTTAACCAGCTCTGTGCTTCAGGTGAAAGTGTGGAACTGTGAGACCAGGGAGTACCTTGAAACTTGAGAGGTAAAATCTTCTAGTTCAACCAGCTTTTTCCTAGTCCGGTTTCCCGATTTCACTTGACCTCCGTGAGTCTCCACGTGCACACAAAAAGAACACCGTTTGAAACCGTCACCCCTCTGCATTTTCCCACCCAACACTTCACTGGAACTGAGCTTCCTCTCTTCCCATCCTGCAGCACGCATGCTGCGTGCTAACACAGCCCAGTCGGGCTATTCTCATCCGAAAGGAACACCTGCACACCATCAGAAACACACCCTTTATCCTCCGAGCTCCCAGGGTGAGTGCAGCACCAGCACTGCAGCCTGCACAGGTTGCTGCCTGCAAGGCACCCCGCGGTCCTGCTGCAGACCTCTGTGCCACCAGGCACCGACAGATCAACAGGCCCCCATCTGAAACGCGCCTCTGCTGAGGGGTGATGTTGGCTGGAACCTTCACCCCAAGAGCACCCTCCGACTCCCAGGAGCCGTCTGCCAGGATTAAATCAGCTCCAAGTGTGACCAAATCTGGAGGCTGACACTGGAACCCAGCTTCCTGACCGACACTGGGAAGTTTCCTGGGAAGGAGCAGTTCCACTGCCTATGGCATCCACCCAAACCAGGGAGGGATGGGGATTCTTTGGCGCTACCACTAGCTGTGCAGAGATCCAAAACAAGCGCTGACCAAATTCTTCAGCTTCCATACAGTCCACCAAAACACTTCAGCAAATTAGTTCATCTCTGTAACACTTAAACACTGGCACAAGACAAAAACTTTAAACATTTACTCTTAAGCTACTGAAGTGATGAATACCCACTCACTGTAAACATCCGTGTAAAGTTTCCACGTTAAATCAATCTCAAGTTAAATACTTTTTACGTTAAGTTGAACCAGTTTCACAGACCTGTACTCATTTGCCTGTTCTTCAAAGAAAAACAGTATTAAAACTGCAAGTTATGTTAGTATTTTCATTAGCAATAAAAGTTCAAATAAACTTTCTGTGAATTTGCCTGTATAAAGCTGATGACGTCTTCATCCCACTGCTACAAAAGAAAAAATCCACCAGTGAGTTTCCAAACAAAATTCTATTTAATGAGACATACTCAGCCAACATAACCAAGAACTTTCGGCACTCTGCAGTTTTATGCCTTGATGGCATACTTCCGGAGAGGGTACAAACGTTCTTTTCGCTGCTGTTTTTTGGTCTTCAGATTTTCTTCATGCTTATTTAATCTGCGTCGCATGGCACGAGTCTTCTTCGGCCGCAGATCAAGAGGCTTATACTTTTTGCCCTGTTTGCAAAAATACACAACAGTTGAGTTTGAGAAACTGCAATGCTGCAATCAGGTGCACAAGCTCAGAGAGCACTGAGTTGCAGCAGTGTTTTAAGCTTCTTTTTATTGGGACTAAGAGAACTTCTCTCCACTGGGAAACATGGGAAACTTTTGTACCAGCTGTACGAGCTTTGACTCGGGTTTAAGTAATGCTTAATCCTCCAAGTCCCAGGTACCCAACCCCTCCTGAAAAGTTCTTTTTTCCCCTATGTAATTTAAACTCCAAGAAGTAATATTCTAAAAATTACAGAAACTTATTGAGATAAAGAATTCCTTGGGTCACCTGCAACATTATTAAAGTTTAGGAGAGTATGCATTTAGGATACATTTCTGGAAACTGCATCTTCTACAAAGTACATGACACCCCAGAGAAGTGATGTTGCCCAGAAGACTCTCCTGAAAAAAGCAGATTTGCCCCAAGCTTAGAGAATTCAGGGTAGTCTTGCAATAGTATTTAAAAAGGAACCATGACTAGAGAACTTTAAAACTGAATATAAATGAGTTTGTTTTTTCTTGAGTGTCAAGCTTCTAAGTAACAGCCTACACAATTAGTTCCTTCCTACAAACTATGTATTTGAAAATTGTAAGAAAAAAAGACCACTATGCAAGATGTTTGGACTTACCTTGTAAAACTTCCTCAAGTTCTCCTTCTGCGTCTGATTGATAACAGTTAAGACTCTGGCAATGGATTTGCGCACCACACGTCTGCAGGTTGAAAAAAAAAGTATGTCTCAGAACATACTGAAAGACAAGCACCATAGATTTTGAACCCCATATAGAGAAAACATACACATGCTACAACCAAGTATCACGCTGTACCGTGCTGTAGCAAAGCACTAGCAACTTCTGGCACATCTCAGCTTATCATCTCCGAGCAAAGAGACGCACAAACCGATTTGCAAGCCTACAAATACTTGTTCCTCCC